AGTGGCTGTAGGGTGGGAATATTCACAGCAGAGATCTGAGGTGGGAGCGTGTCCCTGCTCCCTCACTCCCCTTGGCAGCCCAGAGCAGAGGAGAAGCCCCGTTCTCCCACTTCCCTTGCCTTGCTCAGTCACACGTTTTGCTGTGTCCTGTTTGCCCTGCATGTGGGCTCACCCTTGGTCCTCTGGCCTCGCTAACCTTGTTCCAGGGCTAAGGTAGGGACCAGCAAGTGGCTCCTTGCTATCCCAGGGCTGTTGAGGATGGAGGGTTGACTATTTCTGCAGACGCTACAGAGCACCTGGATGCAGGAGCCTCTGCTTCTCTTCGGGCTCATCTGGCTCCTGCTGAGCTCAAGATCATTCCTGCCTCCTTCTGCCAAGACAGCACCAACACCTCACTGCGGCAGCAGAGGGGTCCCCAGGTGAGGGTGCGGAGGTGCTGGTGGGCAGACTTGCAGCATGGTCCATATGCCTTGAGAATTGCTTCCGCAGAGACTGAGCTGTTCTCCATCGCTCAGGGATCCATCGAAGCCTGATGAAACTACCGGGCACTCGTGTGCCTGCGCTCAGCCCCCTTCTGATCTTTGCTGCTCCCCTCTGCACTGGAGCTGAGACAGGCTGGACTCTCCTGCCCTTGTTTGTGGCACTTTTGTCCCCACAGCACAGTTGCAGAACAGAGCTGCCACCAGCCAGAGGTGGCAGTGTCCCAGAAGATGGGTTCCCCATGCTGGGGGACAGTCCCTGCCATAGTGCCAGGGTGGCTGGGTTTTGCCTGGGTCCCTGCTGCCGCGTCGCTGTCACCTGCTGGCACGGGGCAGGCAGAGAGGACAGCAGCGTGGCTCACGCCACTGTAATAATTGAACTGCAGCGTTAAGCAAATCTGCGGCTTGTGATTTTTATTCAGAGTGCTCAGCCTCTTTGAAACCGTGGTTTAATACAGGCGGTCTGACAGAGGCCTTAATAAGCAGTTGCTGTCTGGATGACGACTGGAATTGGAGGTGCCGTGTTCCCTCGGATGCCCTCTGTAAGTTTTGGAGGATGTTTTTATAACAGACTAAGCTGGTGGGTTTGGGGAATTCAGTCATGTAGTGCTGTAGACTGTCAGTCCTTGCGTATGACTTATTCCTGTCCAAAAACCAGTAGAAAAAATATTTTTAGGTTTTGAGTAAGCTGGCAGAATGCACTGGCATCACGAGTATTCAAATGCACATGCTGACGAGGTGGATGCGCTGTGAACTAGCAGGGAGCTGCTGCAGGGACCAGTTTCAGGTGGTGAGTTTGATTTCCAGAAACCGTAGCTTGTATGTTTGTTTTCCCAGTATCTAAGGGTTGAAATCAAATACGCATTGCCATTTAAATTTCCTTACATTAATCTTAATGTTGGTTGCTAACCGAGACCAGATCTTTCCTAGACACATCTGGTGACTGGGCACGATCGCAACCCTTTCTTCTAAGGGTGTGCTGCACTGAAGAGCTGTGCTGCGAGGGTCTGCTTGAGGTTAGAAAGCGAAGAGAAGGTTTGGGGTTTGTGGGTGCTCTGTCTGGTCACTTTGGTCACGTCGGCTCCCTTTGAGGCTCGGCTCAGCCGTGTGTGAGCGCTCGGTCGCAGTGGGATCTCTGGCCGCCCTACTCCACAGAGCTGCCTGGGCAGGCTGAGCCTGTGGCAACACGCGCTGCGTGGCGGAGGAGCGGGCAGCACGGGACGTGGTTTGTTGGGGTTTTGCTGGATCCCAGGCAGGGAGAAACAATGGCCACATTGGGCTGGTGCCCGTTGGGGTCCAGCTCTGCAGTTCTTGCCCACTGTGCACACTGTGCACTGTTGCACCACTGTGCAGGTGGGCTCAGCCAGTCCTGGGGATGCTCAGGGCACCGCGGGGCTGATGCTGTGCCAGGGAACAACCTGCTTGGTGTCACGCTGCTGCCAACACCGACGCTGTGTCTTGGGTTTTGAGGAACGAGCTGGCACAGTGGTGTGGAGATGGCATTGGGGATTCATCACAGCGTTTACTTTGCCTCAAAAGCACGCGTGGTGGCTCTACCTTCTGTTACCCAAATCTTTCTTGGTGAGGTGAGAGTTGTTGTGCAGAGTTTCCTCTTTATATCCTCTTATGTCACGCTGCCCCGCCGGCTGAGCACGCTCAAAATAGCTGCCAATCCCAGTAGGTTTCACTTCAAGGTCTCTATTCTTAGCCTGCTGGTTAGCTGAGCAAGCTGCGTTACTCAGTAGTCATGAGTTCAAGGACCGTAGGGTAAAGACTAGCAAACTTATGCCATGCAGGAGTTTTGTTTGCATTTCATGGCAGCTTTGAAGGGACGGCTTGGGCAGAGCCCTACCCAGCTGTCTCCGACTTGCCTGCTCAAAAGGAGAGCCACATGTGTGTGAGTATGCAATAAGAGTTGCTGGAGCTGGTACGTAGTCCGGAGGAGGCAGACGTCTCAGGAGACGGGATGACTCAGTCTACGGGAGTCTGTTCAGTGGCCTGTTGCATCTGACCCATCTACGAGCAGCGTTATCAGATGCATCTTACTGCTGCATGGCAGGAGTGAAGCAGAAGTGAATGTGGGATGCGGAGCGGTGGCTTCCCGGGAGCGGAACTAGCTGGATGTTCTCGGAGTGTTGCGCCAAGGCTGAAGATATCTGCAGGGCTGGTGATGTTCAGCCCCTCCCGTAAGTGCCTTTCCCATCCCTGGGGGGGTTTTAACTCCCTTGCCCGGCTGTGAATCCTGACTAGTCGGGTCGACTGGCTAAAGGTGTACATGGAAGCATCCCTCTGTATGGCACAGGGAGAATGGTTCACACATGGGCCTGAACTAAAGCTCTAATCTGCGTCTGGTGGACACAGCCACCACTGGGGCAGCTTAAGGGCTTTGTGGTTTTGATTGCCTGTACAGAGGGTCCCAGGTCGTACTCATGGGGACCAGTTGCACCAGCAAACACAGGACAGGCTCATATGTTATCTGCTCAGCCATTTCTGGCTGTTTCATTGGGAACTCGCCATTTACGCACCAGCTCTTGCTCAGATCTGATGAAGGTGCTGCCTAGATGGATGCAGAGGGACCTCTTGCTAGTCCTTTAGCAGAACTTAGCTATTTTTGAGAGTGCATTTGGGGAGGGATCTTGTTTTCCAGACCTCATTTAAATTCCCTTAACTTTTTCAAACCACTTTTGAAGCTGTCTGATTCCAGCTCTGTTGGGCTTAGATGAATTTCCATCCAGGAGGGGATCAGGCGCAGTGTGCTGGGGTTAGGGCATGGGCAGGAGCAGCATCCTGCACCTGAGGGATTTATGGCACAGGAGAAACGAACCCGTGCTGGGGGCGAAAGGTGCTAGCCCTGGCTTTTGCTGTGTGCTGCGAGGTGGTTGAGGCTCTGTACGTGGAGTTGCTGGGGAGTGAGTGTTGTGTACCGAGTTCGCATCCTGCCTACGCTGCGGGTAACGGTCACGTGCAGACGAGGCCTTTGTCCTGAGCCTGACTGCTTTTTTTAAACTTTATTTTTAGGTGCTCTCTGGCTTCCTCTTCCTCCTGCGCTGCGCTGCACTCCCTCTTTCTAACTCCCTCTTCTAGGATTGCTTTTTGAACAATCAGTTCCTCCTTAAACCCATTTTTGCAGGCCTTTGTCCGCGCTTGGGAGCTAGCCCAGTTTAGCATTAGCAGCTGCTGGCTCCTTCTGGGTAAGCACGAACAAATAAAGGTTTACACTGAATGAATCATTTGAGCCTTATCTGTCTTTCAAATTTGGGACAGCTGTACAACTGCTGTGTGGAGTCTGCCTGGAGGGCACAGAGCCTCCTCGGCGAAGAACTTCTCCTGCCAGTGGCCGGAGCTTAATGGGTTTGTGCTGTGATCCGTGCGCTGCCTCAGTGAATTCTTCTGTGTGCCTCTGAGCGTTATCCCACGCTTGATTACGAAGCACAACTCCGTAATAACTCCCTTCCCTTGAAGACTTGCTCCACGCTGGCTTTGCTATAGACTCCTGTGGAAATTCAGCCTTCGGGATGCTTTGGGTGGTTTGATCACGGCTCGAAAATGCGGACGCTGGCTGCCGAGCGTCACGGTGGGAACCGCATCGTGGTGGGACCTGCAGAGTGGATGGGCTTTGAAGGCAGACAGTGCCTGGTTTGCGGTGAGTGAGTTGCTGGCATCCGCTTGGGCTCTCCACTTAGGCAAAGGGACACGGCGGAGTGTCAACACTGCAGGAACCGTGGTGTGGCTTTGCTGGTTTAAGAGGCAGGATTTGTAGATAAGTAGCATTAGTTGGTTTAGTAACAGAAATGTGGGAGAAGGGAGTGGAGCAGCAGATAAGCCTTGGGCTCGTGCCTAAAAAGTTTTAATCTGATACTAAGGTGAGGAGTTGCAGCAGAGCTAATATTTTGCTGAGATGAACGGAACAGTTTTTTCTCTCCTCCTCCTACTGTCCTCGTCTTCTGGCACTCCAGATTAGACTTGGTTTATCCTCTTTCTACGGAGAGAGGCACCCTGTCTAACCGTAACGAAGGTCTCGCCAACAGATCTGGTGTTGTTTGGTGGTTCAGAGGAAGTGCTGGCACACGGCGAGCCTTGCGTCCCCTCCTGCAGCCTGGTCCGTCTCCCAGCTTGTGTCCTCCAGTCGTCAGAACTCATCAGAAGAAGAAGCAGGCTTAGACACGTGATGCAGTGGTGGCAAACTCCTCATAGCTTCTTGCAATTTCTCTTTTTTTTTTTTTTTTTGCAAATACTTCAGAGAATATGTGCCACAGAGCCTGTCCATCTCTGCACCCTCCGCAGACGCTGCAGGGAGGTTTTGGCTCTGTTGCTGGATAAACCATTTGCCTGTTGCAGTGGTGGGAGCCACTGCACTCTTGCAAACTGGAGGCGTTGGTGGAGCTTCCTTCATGCGTTTGTAACCTGCCTACCCAGTTTGTCTCATCCCATGCCCAAGGCCGTGTGAGACCAAGAGTGGCTTGGTGGCTTCAGTACTCTAAGGCATCAAGGACACATTTGCAAGACAGAAGTCCATCCCTGCTAGCAGGCCAGGCCTTGGGAGGTGAAGATGGCTCTGTCCTTGGCGTGGTAGCAGGGGCAAACCTTGTTGACTCAATGAGAAGAATTAGAGGATTAAAGCAGACCTTGGCTTCTGAGCACAAGGGCTCTTGGCACTTTGACTCCACTGTAGAAGATCTTCAGGCTGTCCTGGCTTCTGGGAGCGGGGCTTGTAGCTCCTGCAGAGTCTATTGAGGTCTACAGAGGATCGTGCATTGTCAGCAAGGTCTTCTCCTGCCTTGGTGCTGACTTCCCTAGGGCTCCCTGGAGCTGGGCTCGCTCTGAAGCAGTGATAGCCAAGGCTCCTGGGATGCTTGGAAGGGGATTTTAGGACCAAGGTGAGGTCCTGGGTGAGGAATCAAACAGGTGCTCATGACAGTGGTGGCAGAATAAGGTTGCAGAAGCTATTTCCTTAGTTCCACGTGAGCTCTTTACTGCAAATCCCGATCGATAAACTGCCTCCCTTTCTTTTCTGGAGCTTGGAGGCACCTAGCTGTGCTTGTGACCTGGCCTGGGAGCTGCAGTAGAGTGGGGAGATGCAGCGCTTTGTATCTCGGGTTGGGGAGAATAACCCAGAGGCTCTTTCCACCTTAAATATGGAATTTCAGAGCGTGTCTGCAGGATGCTGAGACGGGACAGCCAAGGTATGCATGGTGAGCTTGGCTATTATCTATATTTTCGTCTGGCATGGAGGTGGCACATCAAGCTCGATCATCGACAGGACGCGTTTCTTCCATACTTTGCTTTCCAGCACGGGATGGGTGGACCCGGGGACTCAGTGGGAGAGAGGTCTTGAAAGCGGGGTAGGGAGGTAAAGCTCGCTATTGCGAACACAAAGACTGGCTCCTGGGATGCAGGGAGGTCTTGCCCTGAGCCCGAAGAGCTGTGGCACAGCGGAGCAGAGCACAAAGGTGGCACCGGGCACGTGGTGCTGGAGAACGGAAAGCTGGGGTGGGGGGACATAGCAACTCAGACTCCTCAGCCAGCGCAGTTTCTTTTTTAACCTGAATTTTTCAGTCTTTCTGAAAGCTCCCTGTGCATTAGGCTGGCTCTGTAACCCGCCTCTCCGGCCCAGGCTGGGACAGTTTGGGGCTGAACCCGTGGATCCGTGCATGGAGGATTTCTGAGGGCTGTCCCCAGCTACCTGCCATGAGCCTGTATTGATGACCGCTTAGCTTCTGGTCTCCCTGTCCGTTCTGGGCAGACTCCGAGTGCCCCAGTGCAGGGGTAAGCAAACAGGGCTTGTACAACCCTTACAAAGCCGGGGCTGGAACCTGCTTTTCTAGTACGACAGACCAGGTCTCAGCCACTCTGCCTCTTTAAAGCAAGTGTACTCAGAGAGGGTTTGGCTTTTCTGCCTATAACTAATATTTTAGCCATTAGGCAGACGGGGCAAAAGTCCCGGCTGGATTTGTCCAAGCGGCTCATTGCGGAGCCGTTGGAGGTTGTTGGTGTTGCAACGCCTTGTCTCGTGTGGCAGGTCCATCCTTGGCACACGCTGGATGCAATGGGTGTGCACGGATGCTGAATCCCCTCTTCCTCATCGGCTGGATGCTCCATAGAGGGAGTAGGAATAGTTCACCTGGATTAAATCACAAGTTTTCTCTCTCCTTCCATCTTCAAGGCTCTGCTGTCGTAAACAGCTGCGTACTGGAGAAGGTAAGTGGAGGCAGCGCAGTCCTGCCAAGCCCTCGTGTCCACAAATGACTAAATCCTGCCTGAAAAGTCAAAGTATGAAAACATTATTTTTTGGTTTTGGCTCAGCCTCGTGGATTGCTGGGATCGAGCCATCTTGGCTGCCCGGCGGGATAGCAGAGCCGCCCCTCTGGATGCCGGCTGGGGCTCTGCCCACCTTGCAGCTGGCGGAGGAGGGTGGAGGAAGGCTGGTGTGGACGTGTCTGGGGTGCAGGGGGGCGCCAGGGGGCTGCCGCTGCGCCCGCGGCACTCCGCACGGCCTTCGATGTTGTGCCCATTGGCAAAGCTTGTTGGCAGGAGGGCTGGAGGGCGGTGCTGCGGCTGCAAGCCCTCGCAGTTCATAAATAACTGTGGGGGCTGGAGAGCTGGGCCGGTGTCCCGTCGAGGAGCTGTCGTGCCAGCCCCTGTGCGAATGCAGCACCTTGCCTGCGTTTTTTTAGCTTTAAAGCTGGCTTTTCTCTCATGTGTACTTCCACGGCGGGGGCCTGCGTGCAGCTGGGTTTTCTGTGTGTCACCCTCATTTGCCTGCTGCTCCGACATCCCATGGTGGGACAGTGGCCGGTCACTGCCTGCTTGCAGGCAGCCCTGCCTGCCTGGAGCTGGGTCTGGAGCCTTGTTGAACGGTGCGGTGGGTCCGTCACCCTGTCACAGCCTGGCTGATGGACTCTGCTGTCAGTTCGTAGGGAATAGGTGGATATGAGAAAGGAGATGCTAATGTTTAGCAGAGCACTGGTTTGGGAGGGGAGAGCTCTGAGCAGCTCCGTGCTAAAGACACTTTGTGCATTTTGATGTCTGTTTATTATATGCTGGAGCAGGATTTTAAGAGGGTGGAGAGCAGTCTAATAGTGCCCAGTCTAAGTAGGTGTCCTGGCGTGCTCCTGGGAGCGCAGATCTTGCTGCCTGAAGCATCCGACGTGTCTCACCTCTGTGGCACAGGTTGCTGTGAGAGCAGGTGCCTCCAACTCAGCGGTGCTGCACGTTGCATTGCTGAAAGACCCCTGGCTCTGGGTCTTGGCCCAGAAGAGACCATTTCCTTCTCCAAACAATGCAGCAGCTCTGCTTGGTCTGATTGCATCTTTGCAGCGGTGGACCAGGCAATGCAGCCCTGCCCCCTGCCTTGTTTCTGCTTCCTATGATCCCATCTCCAGCTCCCCAGGCTTTCCTGAGGGTACCTTTCTTCTTCTTCTCCACCCAGAATAGCTCTTGCAAAACTTGGTTTCCCAGCTGGCCAGGAGAGGTAACATAAAGTGGGTATCTGCCGTCCTCCTCCATACTCCAGCCCTTAGAGGTCGTGCACGGGTACAGCTGTCTCTGCAAGCCAGACTTTGTACCTGCAGGAGCTCAAGAGAAGCCTGGACTCCTGTGCTCTGGCTGGGGCTGTAGGGTCAGAACTGAGCAGTTTTGGGAGCTGAGGAGCCTGTGGTATGGGAGGTGAGAAGTCGTGATGGGGAGAGGAGGGTAGGGCTGGCAAGGGGATGTCCAACCCCTATCTCCCAGAGAAGAGGTATGTGATGTGTTGTTTGGTCCAACACAACTGGCTTGCTTGTAGCATGGAATCACGGAATCTTCAGAGTTGGAAGGGACCTCTAGAGATCATCTCATCCCACTCCCCTGCTAAAGCAGGATTGCCCAGAGCACATTCCTCAGGACTGCATCCAGGCGGGTCTTGAAAATCTCCAGAAAGGGACTCCCCACCCCCTGGGCAGCCTCTGCCAGTGCTCTGTCACCCCAACTGTAAAGAAGTT